GCAGCCAATATTGCACCTTATGCCTGATTTTTACGAAGATGGCTGTCAGCTGCTTCAGCCTGGACAAGTGAGTTGAAGTCTCAGGCTCCTGAAAGATTCTGACCTAGTGGTTGAATACACAACCAAGAGGCTCTTTCTAGATTGCCTGGGCTGCAGGCACTGACCACTTCAGTGATCTCAGTGGCATTAGCAAAACTAGCCACAAGGCTTTAGCAAGCAAACTTGAGTTTAAATTGAAAAATAGCTTAGTCTGTGGGCAGCTGCAGATGGCCTTGAATAACACAAGCACAAATAGGCCTGTGATTGCAGCCAGGACTGACAGAGGAATAAATAAATCCAGAGACGGTCTTTAGAGTCCCACTGAGGTTTTGCCTTGAAAGAGGCAGAGTTTCAGCACACTGTTTGGCTTTTACCACGATTTTCACCCAGGTCTATAAAGAAGTTAGGTTCCACATGGGTCACAGAGCAATAGCATGTGAGATTCTAGCTTTAACTTATTAGTGTTAGGTTCAAATAGGTAGTAGACGATCTCACTTTGAGTAGACCCAAATTCTATTCTACATTTAGAGCCAAGGTGGACACTGTAGCAGAATTAATCTTTAATTCATGTGACTGATAAACAGTGTTGAGTCACCCCTAACCATGTAAACTCAAGTTGGCCCTGAATTTGTTAATTTCATGAATTTAAACCAAGGCTTTGGATTTCAGACTAAAATTATGTATTCAACCTAAAAGGGAGGTACATTTTATTAACAAAACAATAGGAGTAAATGGGCATCCTCATTGAAAAATACGCTATCTTCTTAGATAACAGCAGAGAAATAACCGAAAGAAACTATCACTGTCCCAATAAAAAGATGGATAGTTTTTCAATGCGGTCTCTGAGGAACATGATTGCTTAAAATGTCACAGAAAAACTGTAGTCATATGAAAAACATGTCAGTCTTAATATCAGAACGTAAGCAGAGGAAAATTGAAAATAAAGAGACAGATCAAGCTAAAGGAAAATTTCCTTAGGAGTAAGGTTGAGATATTAGAGAACATATTAAAGAGAAATTAAACTAAAATGAGATCTCAAAAGCCAGTATATATAAAAGGGAAAGGAAGGTGGCTGGACGCAGTGGCTCACACCTGTAATCCTAGCACTTTGGGAGGTGGAAGTGGGTGGATTGCCTGAGCTCAGGAGTTCGAGACCAGCCCAGGCAACACGGTGAAACTCCGTCTCTACTAAAATACAAAACATTAGCCAGGCATGGTGGCAAGTGCCTGTAATCCCAGCTACTGAGGAGGCTGAGTCAGAGAATTGCTCCACCTCCCGGGAGGCGGAGGTTGTGGTGAGCTGAGAATGCGCCATTGCACTCCAGCCTGGGTGACCAGAGGAAGACTCCATCTTAAAAAAATATAAATAAATACAAATAAACAAATAAAAGGGAAAGGAAAATGCAGCAAGGTCTAACTTGTATGAAGGAGGGTGTTAGATGCAGGGAAAGTGTGTAGTTATTACTGGAACAGAAACAGTGATTCCAGAAGTTTCAGAGTTTTTTTTTTAAAGGAGTGTAAAAACAAGAGTACACTAAAATGACATTCAAGAGGTCTAAGATCCAGGAAACTATTAAATGTTAGATTCTTAAAATTATTAATGGAAAGTCTATAGTAAATGCAACTGATTTTCCTGCCTTCCATCCTGCACCCTGGTAATCCATTCATTTCTAAGAAGCACACCTGATCATGTCAGTCCCTTGCCACAAACTACACATGCACACACACACACAGAGCACACACACACAGCACACACACAACACATGCACACACACACACAGAGCACACACACACAGCACACACACACACACACAGTACACACACACCACACACACACAGCACACAGCACCACACACACACAGCACACACACAGCACACACACACACACAACACACACAGCACACACACAGCACAAACACACAGCACACACACAGCACACACACGCACACACACAGCACGCACACACAGCACACACACAACACACAGCACACACACACAGCGCACACACACACAAAACACAGCACACACACGCACACCACACACACAGCACATAGCACACACACACACAGCACACACACACAGCACACACACAAACACACAGCACAAACACACGCACACCACACAGCACATAGCACACACACACACAGCACACAAACACACACACAGCACACACACACAGCACACACACACAGCGCGCACACACACACAGCGCACACACACAGCGCACACACACACACAGCACACACACACAGAGCACACACACACAGAGCACACACACACAGCGCGCACACACACACAGCACACACCGCACACAGCACACACCGCACACACACAGCACACACACACACACACAGCGCACACACACAGCGCACACACAGTGCACACACACAGAGCACACAGCGCACACACACAGCACACACACACACACACACACACACACACACAGCCCATGCACCTTTGCACCTTAGCATGAGAGACAGTCTTTCCATGACCTGGATTCTATGTACCTCCCTGAACTGTTTCCTGATAAACTCCACCTCCGCATCCTAGATTCCAGTTGTACCAAACTATTTGCAAGTCTTGAGTATTATAAACTTGATAACATATTCATTCTGCCTACCATGTCCTTTTATCCTAGTCCACATGGATTTTACAAGACTCAGCTTACAAATCACTTCTCCTAGGAGCCTTTCTACATTAGAATTACTAGTGAATGCAGAGCACTTACAATGTTTTATTTTTCTTATGTATTTATTGACTCTTTTTCAACTCTAAGCCAGTGGTTCTCAAAAGAGGAGATACAGCTCCTAGGAGACATTTCAAAAATGTAAGGGGCATTTTTAGTTGTAATAAGTTTAGGGGTTGGGAGAACACAACAGATATTCAGTGGACAAGCCAGGAAGCTAGATACCTTGCAATATCCATATAGTTCAGTACAAAAAATATAAACTATATGCATCATGTTCAACTTTGGAATGTTCCACTGGACTTTCTGTAGGTGAAAAACTTGTTTATAATTATCTGAGTTAAGATTCAAACTCTGAGCCAGGTGCAGTGGCTCACACCTGTAATCCCAGCACTTTGGAAGATTGAGGCGGGCAGATCACCTGAGGTCAGGAGTTCAAGACCAGCCTGGCCAACATGATGAAACCCCATCTCTACTAAAAATACAAAAAAAAGACTTAGCCAGGCATAGTGGCGCTTGCCTGTAATCTCAGCTACTCAGGAGGCTGGGCAGGAGAATTGCTTGAACCCAGGAGGCAGGGGTTGCAGTGAGCCGAGATCATGCCACTGCACTCCAGCCTGGGTAACAAGAGCGAAAACTCTGTCAAAAAAAAAAAGATTCATACTCTGTTTTATATCAAATCAAAAGTATTTTTGCATGGTGTTATATATTGAATTTCACAGGAATATAACTGCCATAAACTGAGGAAAGAATGTACTTCGTTTATGTTCAGAACTTTATCAAGAGTTGTTTCCCATTTCAGAAATCACATCACTATGAGCACCACTGAGGGTGGTATTTGAGTCACCAACACAACACTCCTGTATCCATCTGCATTTGTCGATGAGGCATTCATGGTGACTGCAAGTAGATGTACAGATTTCCTCATTTAGCTCTTATTTCAAAATGTCAAATATAAATTTTAAACGTGGGCAAATATTCAGTCGAATATATTAAATTGGGTTTTACAGCTTTTATGCAGAAATGAACAGTCACCGATATGTCTATTCCGCCAACACATTTTTTTCTAGTTAAGCCAACGAACCCATCAAGAGTCAGTGAACATTTTACAAAGGAACATGTTGATCACATTGGCAAAGCTATGTGTGTGTGTGTGTGTGTGTGTGTGTATATATATTTATTTATGATATTTAAGGAAAATTGAAAATTGCTATAGTGTCACTGGAATGTTCAAGAATGTTCTCCGCAAAAGGAGGTGAGTCTCACTGGTTCTTACAGAACAACATAAAAGATCATGCAATATGGTACATCGTACAATATTCTAAGAAAATTAGTTTTATAAGCTATGTAAGAGATTAGTACAAAGAGGATAAAAAGAAATCCAAACCAAATAATTTCTCTATCCCATTGTAATACTGCTTTAAGAAGATGGTAAAAGATATTGAAATCAACTGCATAATGCAAATAATCTTGATTATGAGTGGGCAAAAGTAACCTGGATAATCTAAGACTTTAATATTTGCATCTATAAAGTGTGCAAGGACAGAAAAATTATGCAGAAAAGATTATTTTCAAAATTACTAACAATGAATGCAAAAAAATTATCAATATTTGGAACCCTAAAATTAATTAAAGGGAAAAAAATTTCCTTTTCCAACATCATTGCTTATTTAACAGATGGAGCACCAATAATGTAAGTTTAGAGCCAACTTTAAAAAGAGGTACCAGATGCTTTAACAAATCATTTTATTATTCATCAATTACCAAGTCTTGGAGAAAGAGATAATCATCAATGAATGTTTTAAAATAATCCCTTCACTGACAGATTATTCATAATCTTTCAAATGTCATTTAAGTGTTTGAATGTCATGTCTAAATAAGATGGTTCACCAAGCAAATATTTTTAAAAGGTTTGGCTGACATTGTGGACCTTTATGGATCTTTTACATGATCAATAAAAATATATATATAATTGGAAATACTGCAAATTGATGAGGTATAGCCTTCAAGCTTATTTGAAAAGATCTTCATTATTCAAATTATAATTTTTTAATTTATATTTTGTATATTAATATGTTTATTTTCAAATATTCAGAAAAGTTGAAAGACTAGGGCAAGCTTGTCCAACCCACAGCCCACGGGCCACATGTGGACGAGGACAGCTTTGAATGCTTTGAATGTGGCCCAACACAAATTCGTAAACTTTCTTAAAATATTATGAGATTTTTTTGTGATTTTCTTTTTAGCTCATCAGCTACAATTAGTGTTTGTGTATTTTATGTGTGGCCCAAGACAGTTCTTCTTCCAATGTGGCCCAGGGAAGCCAAAAGATTGGACACCCTTGGATTAGAGCAAGGAACACCCATATGCCTGCCACCTACATTCAGCAGTTTCAAGTATTTTGCTATAATTGCTTCCTGTATGTTTGTATAATTGACTAAAACATTTCTAAGTAAAATGCAGTGCCATGCTATTTCATCTCTGAGTTCTTAACCATGAATCTCCTAAATATAAGGATATTCTCTTGCATAATCACAATGTTATTACTATACCTTAAAAAATTCAAGAGTGGGCCTCAGCCTGGGCAAGCCTTCCCCCAGCCGACCTCTGTGCCCTAGGAACCATAGGGACCCAATGGGCCAGCTCACTTGGGTGGGTGCGGTGGCACCAACCATGGGTACTTTAGAAGAAGGCTTCATTGTGCCCTTCTTCTCTGACTCTGATGCACATTTTGATGCTGTGGTTGGATATTTAGAGGACGTTATCATGGATGAAGACTTCCAGTTATTACAGAGAAATTTCATCAACAACTACTACCAGGAGTTTGAGGACACCGAGGAGAATAAACTCACCTACATACCTATTTTTAACGAATATATTTCTTTGGCAGAAAAGTATATAGAAGAACAGTTGCTGGAGCAAATTCTTGGCTTTAACATGGCAGCTTTCACAACGTTACAGCACCACGAAGATGAAGTGGTTGGTGACGTACTCCAAATGCGGCTCACATTTACAGATTCTCCAGCTTTTAAAGAAATGTTTCTGGACTGCAGAGCAGAAAAAGAAGGCCAGAGACTGGACTTAAGCCGTGGTTTAGTGGAGACTTCATTGTGCAAATCATCTTCTATGCCAGCTTCCCAGAACAATCTGCAGCACTGGGACCTACCTCCAGACAATGAATGGGATCATTCTCAATGTCACAGGCTCAGTAGTTCAATAGGCTCGGCTCATGATGACAGAACATATCCCGGAAAAACTGATTCTGTTCTGCAACCCTTCATTCGCATTAAGCATTGATAGGTAAAAGTCAACATGACCTAACCCTCCTGGACTTATTTATCCTGAAACATCTTATTCGGTTTTTCTTGTTTGTTTTGTTTGTTTGTTTGTTTGTTTGTTTGTTTTTTGAGACAGGGTCTTGCTCTGTCACCCAGGCTGTACTGCAGTGGCCCAATCTCAACTTACTGCAGCTTCCACCTCCCTGGTTCAAGTGATTCTCCTGCCTCAGCCTTCCAAGTAGCTGGAATTACAGGCACCCACCACCATGCCCAGCTAATTTGTTTGTATTTTTAGTAGAGACTCAGTTTCACCATGTTGGCCAGGCTGGTTTTGAACTCCTGACCTCAAGTGATCCGCCTGCCTCGGCCTCCTTAAGTGCTAGGATTACAGGCGTGAGCCACCCCTACCCCCCGACCCCCACGACCCCGACCTAATCACCTTCTTGTATTCATTAACTCTAATACTCCTCCCCTCCCCAAGTAGGTACCTCTCTCTGCTTCTGACTCAGGCACCTTGTAAGCAAGCCCATGTCAAGCATTCCACCCCGTGGGGGGCCCTTCCTCAACCCAGCATCCATGTTTGTGTATCAAAACCCACCATCATGAACCCTCTTTATCCCAGCAGGCTTTGCATAAATTTTTTGTGCACTTGCATCTCATTTTTGACATCAGTCAGAGTTTCAGTTCTTCAGCCTCAGGGAGGTTTTTTAATGTTTATCTGGGGTGTTACTCCAGCCAGCTGTCCATCTTGAGATTTTTGAATCTCTTGTGAACACAGCTTGTCCTGGCTGGAGGAATCAACTGAAAGAGATGTCATTTACCTAAACTCCTGTGAAAACTCCTGGTCTTAACATTTGAAGTCCTTGTGTGACTATGTCTTCTGCTGGTCCTGATGTAGTCCCACTATTTTCAGAAGTCTCTTTGAAGTGTTATTTTTGGAAAATATTTGTATAGATGAATTCTCAGGCTAAACTAGTAGCCTGAGTAGCCTTGCAGTAAGGGAATTCAAAACTTAAGCAGAGAAGGGAGTAGGGTATGACCTTATAAGGGAATAATGCAATTTAGGCAATATCCAGAAAGACTGTAGTCCCATAATACTCGACCAATGAGGAACTTGGGGAGGGCCTTGCGTGCTAGGAGATAAATTACCTGCTGTGACTGCCCTGGGTGTGCCTGCCTATCAGACACCCGATCTTGCAAGACCGCCATTAAATGTCTCATTTCCCCGGATATGATTTTGGAACTTCCACGATTACCCACTTAAAGATTAAAGTATTATATACCGTGTGCTTTTTAGTGAATGTTATGAAGGCAAAAATGCTTTCTACGTTGGTGTTCATTCCTATTTTACTGGGCACCTATGAATGCATGCTGTGTGCTAGAAATACACTAAAAGGTATCCTGTTCTTATAGCATGTTTGTGTGTTTGCATGTTAACTGAAAATACTTTCTGTATAAACAAGTTTGCTGAGTTCTCAGGGTTAGGTAGGGACTCTGCCATTTCTTACTGTCAAAATCTCTCCTACAGAGACAGTGCTCCACTGCTGGTCTAGCTCAGTATGAGTAGGAAATCGTAAACGCCCTTACCAGTCATCTGTCTGCTTTGGCTTACTGCAACGTGTGGTAGAATATTACTTACCAGAAAACATGTATGTCATCTCTGGAAAGAAGAAAAATCACAGCAGTTCAATTCTTAACGTGTATCTTTGATTTTCAAAAAATAACAATAAAAATCTGTACTGACTTTTCACTTGGTTATCTTGCTTTTAAAGGACAAGCTACAAGTGATGTGTTTTTCTACACTGATGCATCACTTATTAAATGCTTTCGTACCATGAGTAAAAAAAAATTCAGAATCATTATTTAATGTCATCTAATACCCAGTTCATTTTCAAACGTCTCCAACTGTCCCCAAAATACCTTTTGACAATAACAAAAATCAATTGCATTTGTGCCTCATGACTCTATTTTAAGCTAGAAAATTTCTTGACCCTATTTTTTAATATCATTTTTATAAAATTGAGTTTTACTAAGCCAGTTGTCCTTTCGAATTTCCAAATTCTGAATTTTTCTGACTGTCTCTTCACGGTGCCATTTAACTTATTCCTCCCTCTCTTCCCCATAAATACGGAATGAGCTCTACAGACTTCATTAGATTCACATCAAACATTTTTGGCAAGAATCACATGTGATGCTTACACTTCATATTTCCTCACATCAGGAGGTAGCAGATGTCGGGTTTCCTCCTACAACTAATGCTAAGGAGGGCACGGTCCCATCCACTGCAAAGGTAGAGCTACAGCGCAAATGAGGTCCTTCTTACATTTTAAGAAAAGGAGCTCAATCTCATTATAGTATAGGGAATTCTCATGACTGAATCAATAAATAGAATATTTTTAAAATAAGCTTGCCCGATTAGTTTTTTCAGACTACTAACAGAATACCACAGACTGGGTGACTCATAAAAACAACAAATGTTTATTTCTCACCGTTCCAGAGAGTGGGAAGTCCAAGATCAAGGTGCCAGCAGATTCTGTGTCTGGTGAGGGCCTATTCCGAATTCACAGTCGCCTTTTTGCTGTGTCCTCTCATGGCAGAAGGGGTGAAGAATCTCCCTGGAGTCTCTTGTATAAGGGCACTAATCACATTCATAAGGGCTCTGCCCTCATAGTCTAATCACCCCCAAAGGATCCACCTCCTAATATCATCACCAGGGGTGTTAAGACTTTAACATTTAAATTTTAAGGGCACATAAACATTCAATCCATTGCACTTGCTCAATGATAATTTTCATGGTTTTCAGCTTTGCCGCATAATCTGACATAAGGGTAGATTAAAAGATACGGACTCAGAAATACATTGCTCTCATTTGGATGCTGTGATGATTAGGTTTAAAGAGCCATTAACATTTTACAATACCAGATTGGGTGGTTTCAAACAGATGTGGAATATCTTTGCCAGCATTTTCAAGAAAAGTTCATTGATTTCAGTATGGTGCCTCTCCTATAAAAAGAGAAAAATTGAACTTTGAGGACAACGTATGATTTAATCAGTCATTATAAAAAGATCTGGGATCCAGCTAAGACTTTCTCACCCACTTGTTTGAAAATAATCTAAATTATGGCAGCATTCCTCCCATCCAAGTACTAACTAGGCCTGATTCTGCTCAGTTTCTGAGATCAGATGAGATCAGGTGGATTCAGAGTGGTATGGCCATATGGCAGCATTCCTACTACACATATAGCTGAGGATGGTTTCAAAATGCTTACTGCAAATGTCATGAAAATCAATTGCAAACCGGTGACAGGAGATTTTAAGCTAACTTTCATAGGCTCTGTACAAAATATTGAAGCATAGACCTAGGAAACAGGCATGTCACTGAATTTTAATACAAGATATTGTTTTCAAATATTTAATATTATTAGCATATATTTGTTTAAGTTGAAAGTACTATGATAAGATATATATGCTATGATAATTACGTTTTGAAACTGTTGTTATTAGTGTGTTCTCATGCTACTAATAAAGACATACCCGAGACTGGGTAATTTATAAAGGAAAGAGGTTTAATGGACTCACAATTCCACGTGGCTGGGGAGGCCTCACAATCATGGCCGAATGCGAAAGCCACATCTTACATGGCAGGAGGCAAGAGAGAATGAGAGCCAAATGAAAGGGGAAATCCCTTATAAAATCATCAGATCTCATGAGACTTATTCACTACCAAGAGAACAAGGGGGAAAACCAAGAGAACATGGGGGAAACCATCCCCATAATTCAATTAGCTCCCACTGTGTCCCTCTCATAACACGTGGGAATTATGGGAGCTACAAGTCAACATAAGATTTGGGTTGGGACACAGCCAAACCATATCAACTATATATTTATTTTTTGGCTACTTGTTTTTTCTCTACCATTTGGAGTCCCCAGAGCACAATCTCTTAGAGCCTCTTGTCTGATGGTTTCTTTTTCCAGTCTGCTCTATTCACCATTGCTTATCAGAAAATGGTCACCCATGTATTTTTAAGCTCTAGAGACTGGTCTTATAACTAAATAAATTGTGGGATTTTAAGACATTATGTGAGATACTGTTATCCATACCATGTGTTACAATAGAATTATTTTATCCTTCATTTTTAAATAATACCCAACTTATTTTCTCCCTTCAATGCCCATAATTTGTCTTGGACATTTTCCCTACTTCAATTAAAGGTTTTCATCTTGTTCTCTTATCATACACAAACCAGTGTGGTTTGTTTTAGTTTCTCCTAAACTATTTCTATTCTGGTGTTCACATATGCCTCTGTTCTTTCCTTTTCCTCTCTTATTTTGAAATGACCTCTATTTCTTATTTATTTTATTGGATGAGTGCATTTGACTACATCATTATAGTTCTGCCTAATTGAGCCTGGAAATTAACATGTGAGATACCATAGTGATCATTTTAAAATATACAGCTCAATAGTGCTAAGCATTGTTGTGCAACCAATCTCCAGAACTTTTCATCTAGTTAAACTGCAACTCTATACCCCTTAAACAACTCTCTATTTTTCCCTCCTCCCAGCCCCTGAGGATAATGTTCATTTTTAAATTCTCTGCATAAGCATGTCATTTTAAATGCGAATTTTATTTTGAGATTGTGAAAGAAATTTTACAAAATATTTGTTTAAAAAAATGAGGGACCTTTGGGTCTAACAGAGTCAAGAACCACCACTCTAAGCTCCTTGAAGGAAGAGTGTTTTATTTACCTCTACCACGGTGTAAATAATAGAAGCTCAATGAATATATATGGAAAGAATGTGTGATTGGAAAGCTAAACGAAGCCAGGCATAGTGGCTCATACCTACAATCCCAGTTCTTTGGGAGGCCAAGGTAAGAGGATTACTTGAGGCCAGGAGTTCAAGACCAGCCTGGGCAACATGACAAAATCCCATCTCTACAAAAATAAATAAATAAATAAACAAATTAAATTAGCTGGGTGTGGTGGCACTGATATATAGTCCTGGCTACAAGGGAAGCTGAGGCAGGAAGATCACTTGAGACCAGGAGTTTGAAGCTGCACTGAG